TCTCTCTCTCTCTCTCTCTCTTTGTCTTGGTCCTTTTATATGAGTCACGCAACGAGAAGAAGGGAGATAGAAAGAGATAGGGCCAATGGGAACGGAAAACACGGAAAGAGATAGGGGTAGGGTAGGGGGAGAGGATTTGGAATTTCAAAGCAGCCGGATTTCATTTCGCCGTTTGTCGGACGACTCCGAACGAAATCCAAATCGCGTCTAGCTAGTTGACCTTTATCGACGCGTCATCCTTTATCACCACCCCCAGCCCTCAGCCCAACCCCTCGGCCATCTCGTTACCACCCTGTATCTCTCACACTTCATCTCGTTTCTACGTCACCACTCATCCCTTTAGCCGTTTTCCACGTGACACGGGGGCAATTCTTCAATCCCCTTGGGCATCCTCAGCCTTCAGACGTACCGACCTTCATTACTTTTTTTTTTCTTAAAATCCCCCATCCCGCCTCTCATTTTTTTTCGCGACTACCATTACTCTTTCCCACTTTCGAACACCCCTCCCCTCCTCACCCCCCCCCAACTCCTCTGTTTCTATCTTTTTGTTTTCTTTTCCCTTGCTTTCCGCGTCGAAACGAACATATTATCATCGTTCTCTTTCCCCGAAATGTAGTTTTTGTTTTATTGGTTTCGATATTATGCTTTATCTCTTGATAAGCATTGATGAACGAAGATAAATAAACAACGAGGAAAGAAAATAATAGAAGAAAAAGTAGATAATTATTCGTGAGATCGTTAGTAATCGTAGGAACAGTTCGTTAAAAGTCACGACGATGAAAGACCGACGCGGACTGAGATAAAGAAAAAGAGAGAGAATGGAAACGTCAAAATGCCATAGCACGCCACTGATTCTACCCTAGTTCGCAACGAAATTTAACTAACCAGTTGAGAGATAAAAGAGAATCAGAGAGCAAGGTAGCATTTTAATTGCATAACGTTTTATTCTTGTTGCTTGGTTCGACGACCAGGTAGAGATCGTAGCTTCCCATCGTTGATAGGATTTGTAAATGTCAATTGTCAAATGAATTTGAGAAACCTAGGGGGAAGGGGAGCAGAAGGATTGGTAGATGGAGGTTGGGAGGAGGGAGAGGTGGTAAAGGAGTAGAAAAAGGGAATAGGGGTGATGGTCGCGAAATATTTGAACGAGACTAGATTACTCTCTGCTTCGATCCTGGCAGTCTACCAAAAAACTTAAGCAATGCCGGAAACGCGGCAGTCGTTGGCTGGACGTCTTTCGAGGATATCCGCAAAAAGAGGTAGAAGAGAAACGGGGAGGAGGAAGAGAGGAAGGAGGAATAGCTGTAGGGGATAGCTCGTTTGGTATCGAATCGTTGTGCGGTTTCGTGGTTCCGTGGTTATAGGCTAATTTCACCGAGATACAACGAATTGGTTGAACTTCGAACCGTACTTCATTACAGGTTAATCGAGCACGAAACGTTCTTCCATCATTTTTTTTTTTTTCAATTATTTTCTGCGCTATTATAGTTGCGTATGAACATTTTTCACGATTATTTCTTTTCCCATTCGTGTTGGGAATTCTCATTCTGATGCGATTTTGCAATCAACCAACCAACCAATAAGCTAGCCAGTCATTTTTGTCATTCTCTCTTATTTTCTATTCTTTTTTCTTCTCGAAGCTTTCTCGCTATTCGTTATTTTTCCTCATCTTTTTCTTGGCTTTTTGTTTTCTTTTATTTTTTCGTCCCTGCTAACTCTCGTGGTTCATTACGATCGTTTGTCAGCGTCAGTGGTCGTACTGTCGAGTGTAAGCAACTGCAAGGAATCTCTTGACGAAAAGGTTAAGAAAAAGAAAAAGAAAGGAAGAGATAGATAGACAAATATAATAGAAAGAATGAAAGTAAGAAAATCTCGAGTACTTTGTCAAATCCGTGTGAAATATATGTAATACGATTGTAATAAAGTTACAATCATTTTTCATTTCAAATTCACTTCAAAGATATTTGAATTTAACCGAGTAATATATATGCCATGATAAAACGAAAGAACATTCTTTTCTTTTTCTTAAATAATTTATTAAGATTTAAAACTTATATAAATCTTCTACCTCTCAAAATTCTAACCAATCATATAGACACATTTTTTCCTCACTAATTTATATTTATATTCTGGTTTATCATCTCTCCTCCTCTCTCTCTCTCTCTCTCTCTCTCACTCTCTTGTCTGAAATTCGTTTTTGTTGTTGACGTTTGTTTGATAAGAACATTAGAAGTCATTTCGCGAGTCTCGGCAACGAACGTTGCTGGAAAGCAATTCTCTTCTTTAGGTATTTAGATAAAGATGTGCAAGAAAGGGATGAGAAGTTGCGAGGAAGAGGAAAGGAAAGTGGGTGGGTAGAAGGAGAAGAAGAAGGAGGAGGAGGAAGTGGAGGTAGAGGGTTGGGGTGGATAGGTTGAAGTTTCCGTTCTCCTTTTTAGCCTTTGTAACTGCAACGGAATATAAATAGGAGCTTGGTGGCTTCTCTCTCTTTCTCTTTCTCTCTCTCTCTCTGTTTCTCTCTTTCTTTGTCTTTTGTTCATTAACCAGCATGCCCGGTCGCTTATACTCCGCTTAACTCCTCAATAAACCGAAGATATTGTCCACCGTTCTAAAGAGCCAAGCCCACGGTTTTAAATTTGCATTCGAAGTGACTCATCTTAAATACTGTCACTTTAATTTATCCAATGTCTTCTATTTTCTATCTTCGAACTGATGTACCGATCTTCTTAGGATAGCCTATAGATAGGTAGGTAGGTAGGTAGAATAGATAGATTATTTTTTCAAATCTTTTCTTCAATTTTTATTGAAATTTATATCTTTTCTTTTCTTTTCATATTTCATTTTGGGAAGTTGAAAATGGTCGCAATTAAGTTCTCATTCATAATTTTATTGATTTCAATCTGTAAGGAATATTTTAAGAAGTACTATTATATTAGTTTAAGGTAGGTATACGATACTTTAATCTTCATTTACAGAAGATACCCGAAAGATTTATAGCGTTATAGAATCTGAAGGATAAGGTCCTTTTAAGAGGAAGGATTGGGCATTTGTTTCTAAGTAAAAAACACGTGGTGGTTTAGACTGAGAGATTCTGAGAACCTTTGAACGTGCTCCCACTCTAAGGCGTCACTTATGGTTAGAAGAAAGACGGTTGATGACCAATGATGAATCGGAAAAAGACTAGAACCGCCCTGCGTCTCCTTTCTCCTTCCATCGGGGGTATGACCGAGGCATAGAATATAATAACAGAGAAAAAAGGAATAGTGTGGTCTTATTGGGTCTTATGTCTTAAGTCCTTTTATGTCTTTTTATGTCTTATGTTTTACGTTTTCTTATGGTTATGATTATGTTATTGTGAAACTTTATGTTAAGTGAGTTTATGTGAAATTAAATATATGTGTATATTAAACCATCATCATAATAACCCCTTTATCCCTTATTACGAAACGATATTATATATAAGATATTATAAATATAAGTACTTTATAAACTGTAGAAATATGATCGAAAGTACGATGATAAATTAAAATAAAGTTCTTTGACGAAGAAGCGATAGATTGAGCGAGTTAAAGGTATCCCTCTATCTGGAAGCGAAATAAGCGACAAAAGCGCTCTCGAATGAAACTAAACAAATTAAATAAAATGTAGGAGACTCGTTATTATTGTTGTACATATATACCCTGGGTACATTAATTTAATTCACAAATTGTACTCGCCTTGTCGAGATTCACAAAGGCCACGTCTGACTTATCGATAAAATATTGCAACGCGAGAATAATAGTCAGCTAGCTAGGCTACGAGAAAACGAGTACGCATTTGTGAGAATTCAACTAAACTCTCTTTTTCGAATAAGAGAGAAAGAGAAAGAGAAAGAGAAAGAGAAAGAGAAGGCAGGTAGAGTAATTTTTCATGATTTTTACGTGACAGTTAATACGTCGATTGAATCCTTCCAATTGTTTTTTTCATGTCTCGTTGTGTGTGTTTGTGTGTCCATATTTTTTTATTCTTTTCTATCGTGTCTTTTTTATGCGTTCGTATTTTCAATTTAATTTTCATTTTTATCTGTAACAACAATTCATTTCATATCGGCGAATACGAATGTTGATTTTTAAGCTTTTTATTGAATATTAAAAAATGTATAAACAAAAAAAAAGGAGAAGAATGAAAAGGGAAAGGATTATTAAAATCGAAATTAGAATAAAAGGATTTTTCGAGCGAGCAGCTTTTGGTGATAAGTTCAGGAAGATAAAGTAAGCAACAGATGTCTAACAGTGGAAGAAACTTTTAAATAGGAAAACATCACTGGTTTCAAGGCCGTGTTAAAATAGGATGGTTCTAAAGCTTCTATGGATGCTTTCGAATATCGTGTCAGACAGAGTCTCGCGGATTTAGTCGAAAGGGTGCAAAAGCTACCTGCATTGATATACTGATGTACATATAAATATATATATATGTGTGTGTGTATATATATACATATATAGAGCGAGAATATTTTCTAGCATCTTTTATACCTTCGCACGTGTATATTCGTATAATACATGTGTGTGGGTGTGGGCGTAAACGATTCTTGAAAATTTCTTTCCCGTTTTCTTCGAAGCTTTCCTTCTTCTTCTTTTTCTTCCTTTTCTTTTCTACTTTCTCTGATCTCCACGATAAACCGAAATAGCTTTTTCTATCGATGTATCTAAAGACCCAAGAAATTTTTCGGTACAAGGGTCTCCAAGAAGATAGTATTTATCGATATAATATCCTCGATTTTTAGTTCATTCTTTTTTTCTCTTCTTATTTTTATCTTGAAAAGATTGTCATTCGAGTATTCGTATCATTCGATTTATTGGACTTTTATCGATTATTAATGAATATTAAGTTGGTCAGAAAGTAATTTCGGAACGTAATAATAAATTTGGGATGGTAATCAAATTCGGGAAATGTTAAATGAAAATTTGTGATCAATATACTATATGCGATTTAGATTTTCTTTTTTCTTTCTATTTAATTTTAAATCTGTTCGTTAATTTGTTCGATAAAATTAATGATAAATATTGTTAAACGTAGGGAAAGGTTTTCAAAGTGTATTTATTTAAATAAGACCCGATAAGAGATAGCACAAGACGAAGAAAAAGTAAATTTAAGCAGATAGGAAGGAAATTTTCTAGCGCATGAAGAATTAATGGCCTCAGGTGTACGTATGGGAATTTTAAATCGATTCGGGCGTTAAGTCACGTGGAAAAATGGCTTTAAGTCGTTCGGAAATACGAGCATTCGCTTCTGAAGAAAATCAATTTTCCTTTCGGGTGGAAGAAAAAAATCAAAAAAGAAAAAGAAGAAGAAGGAAGACGACCAACTACTTTGGCAAACTTATTTACCATAAGAGCAAAGTCACCTTACGTATTTTCTTTTATAAAAAAATTTGTTGCATTATTTTTTCAATACTTTTATTTACGTTCGATGTCTGATCGCGATGATTAAATAAACTTTTTCATTGTGAGATTTACTTTATGTATTTATTTTATTTGATTTATTTAATATTGTTTAATAATGTTTATTGAAACATAAGGTATAATGAAATATAATGAAATTGGATAGAATAAAATAGTAAGTATCTATAATCGTCTAAATGAATAATTAATCAACTCGTTGTGTTGTGTCTTACCTCAAACGTCATAATTAACAAATTAAATATCGTCGTACTTAATTCTTCGTTGCCGTGTCGTCTTTCGTCGTTTCACACACAAACACTCCTCGTAAGAACAATTCAATGTCAGAATGCTCTTATTGGTCCTTTTCGTCGCCTATATATATTCATCACCCCCTCCATCGTTTTTGTCATTTCTTTACATTCTTTCACGAAATTTGCCGACCGTTTCCGATCATAACAAATCTGAATTCTTCTTGTACTTCCGTATTGAGAATATTCGAGAGGTTTCGATGCGATCATATATTAGGCGATAGGTCCAAGTGGTGTCACTTTACAAATAAACCATATGCATTCCCGTCTAAAGAAAGGGTCTCTTTCTCTTTCATCCTACAATAAACTCTCACACACTCATACCCATATCACCACACACATGACTGATAAAGAAATCGTCCATCGATAATTCTAGAAACATCGATGCACACACTTCTCGAATTTTCTCTCACCCTCACATTATTATAATTGATATTTTTATCAAAAGAAATTGTAGAAAATTCAAGCAAAATGTTGAATAACAAGAAATCATCAAAAAAACGATGATTTCTCTTTGAATTTATTTTGATGTAAAAGTCGTGCACGAATCTTCGCATACTTCGGATGAAATTCTTTTCCATGTATATCGTATATATGTGTATGTTATGCGTTCCTCGCGTGAATGTTCGTTTAAGAAGAAAATTCCAAGCGAATCGAACAGTCTGTAGAAATGCAATTTGACGATAAAATGAAGTTTCCGCTAGAAGGATATCCGATCTTACCTTTCGAATTCTTTTTCTCTTTCTCTTTTTCCGCATTTCTCTACTTGAAACTACTTATGATTTATTTTTTTATAAGTCTCTCTTTTTCTCTTCTCATACTTAAACAGATTTTATCAAACAACCTTGATACAATCAGTTTCGATAACATTTTCGGATATATGTGTAAATTAACTTTTTGGACATTCTGTATAAAGAAAAGATCGTTTGTTTTGAAAATGTTCATCGTATAAGGACGCCATTTTTGGTCCAATTTCTTTGCAAAAAAGAGATAGAAAAGGAAAAAGAGGATGTGGGAGAGGGAAGGGAAACAAAGAGAGATTTTGCTTTCGAAGAAATATAATCATCAGTAATTGCGTTGACTATTTAAAAGGACTTGCGTGTTACTCGCTCATAATTGTCGCTGACTTTATTACGCCGATGTTCTACTAATTGCACGTACCTCTCTCTCTCTCTCTCTCTCTTTCTCTCTTTACTTTCTCTCTTTACTTTCTCTCTTTACTTTCTTCGCTTCCTCTCATTCACGCTAGAAAAACCGGATGAAAATGAACTAACGGAAAATGAAATTCATTTTTACGAAAATTAAATTCTCAGGGTACGCACTTATCGACGCTCCGCCAGGTCTGCTGTAAATTTTGCGAAACGTTTTATAAAGTTCCGCGCGTACTTTCTAAATGCATCGCCACTTCGTTCAATTTTTATTCGAAAAAATATACGTTCCTTCGATGGAAATAGTCAAATTGGGATAGTAGAAATATTACGAACAATTCATTAAAATTTTTGGGCAACAAAATAATTCAATTAATTCTATATGCACAGATTTAAAATAATAAGTTATACGTTAATTTAAATTTTAAAACGAGTCGTTAATGATCTCGCAGTTTACGCGACTCTAAATTAGGAAAAAACAAATTACAGAAAAGAAAAGAAAAGAAAAAATTAAATTAAAAAAGAAAAAGAGTGTATCATATTTATTTATAAGCAATTGATTGTTGTTTATTATATTTTAAATGCGCATAGATTCGTAAAAGTATCTTGTTTTTGGGCAAATTATTTATATTTTCATTGAAATTGAAATATATTTCATAGGAACAAGAAGTCAATTATGTGTCTGCCGTTAGCAATGTAAGATGAGTTGCTTATTAGATTTGTACTACTTCGTCTTTGTATCTAACATATTCTCTGCCAAACATATTCGTACTTAATTAAAGTCCTGCGTGTTAACTTCTCTGGCAACGCTTTAAGAGTAATGATGTTTAGAGTAAGTCACGCGAGGCACCTCTACCAGACTTTGAAGCACTTTATTCGCTAGAAATTAGATCTCTCATTCCTCGTCTAAGTACGCACGAATAATCACATTAGAAATTTTTGTAATACCGTCATTTTTAGATGATAACAATTCATAAATATATGTATATTATATAATATAATAATTAGGATCGATATTCGAGCAAATTCTCGAACTTTTCATACACCCAAGCCGGTTATTACGATATAATCCTCGTAAGAGGGTGGGCAAAAAAGAGAGATGAAAAAAAAAAAAGAAAAGAAGAATTAAATAATAAAGGTAAAAGAAAGAAAGAAAAAGTGTAGCGCTGGAAATCGAAGGAAAAATAATGTTTAATTCATAAAGAGACGAAGCGAGTTTTCGGAGCACGGGTCACCACCGGTCGAACAATTAAAAATGTTCAAATACTCGAGCGTTGGATATTCCTATTGTTCTTTCTGTCTTTCTTATAAAAAACGCAGACTCGCTTGCCTACCCTCTCTCTCTCTCTCTCTCTCTCTCTTATCTATCGATCGACGCAATTATTTCGACTCTCAACGGACGAGAGAATTAACAAGCGGACGAATAACGAGACGACGCGCCACGCTGGTCAGCTTTTTTTATTTTTCAAAGCTTCCTTCCTTCCTTCCTTCCTTCCTTTATTTATTTCTTTCTATCTTTCTTTTTATTTCATTTCATTTCATTTGATTTTATTCTATTTTATTCTATTTTATTATTTATTTTTCTTCTCTCCCCCCGTTTTCATAATCGATTCTGCATACGGTCTTCACGAAAAATAAACTTCGTTTCGTTCCTCTTCGTAAAACCTGACGATCCGAGATTTTTCTATAAAAAAGAAAAAAAACCGAGGAAAAAGAGGAGAAGAGAGAGATAAAAGGGTTCGGGAGAAGAAGAAGGGGAAGAGGTGGTTTGGGGGAATATATAATAATAATTAAGTAATTTTCCTTCTTTTCATGTTTTTTTGCTTTCCTGGTTCGAATTCGTGTTACTTTTTAATGAGAAAAGTGAATTGTTAGAAATAAGATTTTACTTAAGACTATTTTTGTTAACTTTTGGACCGGGCAGTGTTCTTCAACGCGGGTGAAAGTTTGACACCACTCTTCGTAAACATCTTTAGAAACGTTAAGTTTGAAAGATCTTTTTGCATTTAGGAAGGGCAAGCTGGAAGAAAGTTTATTACGTGTATCGTCGTACGATGTGGTTTGTCATTGCGGTTGGGAAGATACGCTTTGCTATAGTTTACGTCTTTATCTTCCTGTTTCTACTTAGAATACGTTTAAGATAAACAGAGAGAAAGTGAAAGGGTGAGAGGATGAGAGAGAGAGAGACAGACAGAGAGACAGAGAGTAAGAAATAAAACGAAAAAATGAATGAGATCTTTATTATTATTATTATTGTCGTAATTTTCAAAAGTCTAATTCAAATTACACGTTGTACAATATCTTAGTTGGTATTATTTGAATAAATTTTTCTTCACTTTTTTCTATGTCAGGTTTAATTAAAAATAATAAACGTATTATAATATTATATCACGATATTACAATCGTTTTAAAATCGCATTCTTTAATAATCTTGATTGTTATTATTTCAGGAGTGGAACGATTACAAGTTGAAGTGGAATCCGGATGACTATGGCGGCGTCGAAACCCTTCATGTACCATCGGAACACATATGGCTGCCTGACATTGTACTTTACAATAAGTGAGTAGGTTTTTTTTGTTATTGTCATATTTCGTTTTATTATAACGTTGACGAAAAGAAATAACAAAAAAAAAGAAAACCAAATTATTTTTCCCATCTATATTCTTCATTCGATTAGTTTTATTTCAGGACAGATCTCATAAGAATCGTTATTTTAGTTAAAAGTATAGATACCTGTTGACAATGGCACACAAGTAAAGGATCCAGAAGTACTAGTTTGGTATATAAATTTCGTGCAAAAATTGCTGACCCATATAAATTCGTGTGGAGTAGGTAGTAGTAGTAGTCGTAGATAGGAAGAGAGGCGGGCTACCCTGGTGATTTTGTTTTGGCTACGAGGCATGTTGCACCTCTCGTCGCGACGAGTCGAGTGGCGCTGGACATTTAAACTACTGACCTACATAATTGCTTGAAAAGAGAGAGAGAGAGAGAGAGAGAGAGAGAGAGAGAGAGAAGAGAGAAAGGTTTCTATATTATACCAAGTCTATGGTCCCTCGACGGAAAAATAAAATTGCTTCCTCGTGAA